CAAATGATGTAAAACAATTTTCCTAATGTACAAAGTAAATTAGCTATGATTCTGCCAGATAGTTCTCTCAAATATAGCAGCATAGGAGGGTTGAATTAAAAAACTAATGATTATGGGAAGAACCAACAGAAACCAGTAGCAAATGTTTAATCAGCCTGTTCTCATAAATAATCCGGAGCTATTATCATTTCCTATGTCAAAGGGGCAAGCTAAGAGTACAATTACTATGAACTAAAGAAAGAATTATATCTGTATCTCGTATACAATATTTTAACATGAACTGTGAACTCATAGAAATGCTCACAGTTATGTCTAAGCTACTGTCTGGTTGTGAGGAAGTTAAGGGAATAAACACTTGGATTTTCCGATCTTTTGCTGCTGCTCCATTTAGTAGTGTCTCATCACAACCACTGCTCAGGATCCTGAAATACAGTGCAAATAGAGGGGAATGAAAAAGACTACATAGTACCTAAATCAAAGGTAAGCAATCAAGATAATGTATTTCAAGATATAAAACTCTAGAGAGGATTATGCTAAGGGGTTAAGAAGAAATCAGTGTCATAGAAGGGTAAACCATGGAGCAGATGTTCTTAGATTCTATGATGTGTTCATTTTTACCTGTCTGCTGGCCTCTGAGAAGCAGAATCCTAGATACATCCTCTAAGAGGTAGCCATTCATCTTCGCAAAATTTACGTTTATATGTATGATAAGCTGCCCTTAAACCACACTAGCTTGTGACCAGAAGACAGGCCCACATTTACCTCAAAATTGGCTGCTTAATAAGGTCATTCCTACTGAATGTTATAATGTAGAAACTTTCAGTCATTTCCTGTACCAGCACTTCACAGAGAAATGGGAAAAAAGGAATTAGAAAATTCCTCCTTCTAGTTTCTGCCATCTTTCCATTCTGGCTACAAAAGTGAAAAAAAAAAAGCTGTGAAATATTTTAAAATTACTAAAATAATGCTAGACTATCTCAAAGAATGTGAGTACATCTAGTCAGAGGAAAGTGAAAATTAATCTTTGCAATTGGTGATTGGAAATAATAGTTTCCTAAGTGTTCTTAGTCACATAAAAGTTTTAATTATGATAAATATAACAACTAATGTGATTG